AAGTGTTTAAGTTGCGATGATCAAAGATATGCACCAACTGGACACACTGTAAAAGAATTAGAATTGTAATTTGTGATAAAATATTCAATATCTTCCCCATATTTAAAAGGGATGGATCTCAAAAAACTGAAAGTGTGGTCTGCAAAATCATATTCACTGATCCAAAGGATAGCTCCAGTGATGATAAAAACACAAAGGTCAAAGATGGATGTGAAGAGTTTGAAGACAAATGTTTTATGAATTTATGAGGAGGAGAAAGAACAATATTTCTAAATTAGTGTGATTTTATAAAGTATGTGATTTTAAATAGGCACAGGTACCTAAATTTAAAATGCAGAAGCGGAGGCTAACACACCATTGTAAAGCAATTATACCCCAATAAAGATGTTAAAAAAAAAAAAAAAATGCAAATCGTGTAAACAAGCCTTTGGTTCGTTTACCTACATACCTAATAGTATGTGTATTCTCGAGTTGACCAAAAAACACTTTAGGGGACTTTTTAATAGGGAAAATGGGGAAATTTTGATATTTGCACTTTCTAATAGTTGGGCAACATGGTATATGCTGAATTTCAATAAGATAAAATTGATTCACATAGCTAGCCTACTGACCACTTAACAAGCAGAGCTCTGGTCCCATCTATCAGAAGCATAAAAATCTAGTTAGTGTGACTATATTTAGGGACTTGCTCCACCTCTGTTTAATAATCTTTCAGATACTAGAACTTAAAACAAGTCAACAGCAGGAGTTCGGGATTCATTTCTGGATCCCTGATGTTCCCTCCTTCAGGATCTGCAGTGGTGCAATGCCCGTCACTTGCAGCCAGCTCTTTAGCCTGGCTCTCCATCCTGTCCCCACCCGCCACCAGCACTGACTCGTCATCAGGTCAGCCCCACCCATCCAGCTGACCTAATTCCCTACCACAGCCAACCTGGTCTTTCCCTCGTAACGGCTCCTCCCACTGGCATGGCTGCCGCCCCAACTCCATCCTTTACAGCCTAACCCGAGTCCCACATCCTCCATGAAGTTGTCCTGACCGCCTCACCCCACAACAGATCGGCTTCCACTCCCTGAAATCCTCATGCAAGGCAGTCATAATTTAGCACTTCATTACATGCTCTGCTGAGTCATTCTGTGATTGCTTCCGGCATATTCTTTTTTTTTTTCCTCTAAGAGAAAAGAATTTTGACTGAGACAAATAATTCTTCTAGATTCCCCTCAGAGTTTACTGGCACTTGACTGAATGTCGTCTAATGACATCATGCCATTTCAAATGGAGAATGTTTCTGCCCCTGTTCAAGGGCAGTCTAAAGGGAAAACAAAAGTAGTACCTTCAGTAACAACTGTTGTTGGCAAACCTGCTACCTCTGAGATTGTACCGGTATTACCCTACCGGCCTGAATCACAGAGCATTTGCAATGGGGTGACTGCAGGTGGCACAAAAAAGGAAGACAATCGCTAATAATACAACCACATCTTGCTTTCTGGAGTCATAAAAGGTTCTCCGAGCATCAAATTCATCAGCTTGTCAAGAAATAAAACAGCCTGTCACGACAGAGACCTTCAAAAGATACCCAGAATCTCACCACTGCTCATTACCTCTACTACCACAGCCCTGAGCGAAGCTGCCATCACGTGTCACCTGCAGTACTGCAACAGCCACTAACTGGTTTCCCTGCACCCACGCTGGCCTCCTCACAATCTACTCTCAACAGCGACCTAAATGAGCCTGCTGAAATGCTCAACAGATTGTGTCAAAACCCTTCAATCATAGATCAGTCTGACTCCTGGTAGGAAACAGATGGCACATTCAAAGTGGGTGATTTGAGGAGAGTTCATATCATAACGCAGGGGCTAGCAACACAAGGGTACTTCATCCCCTTCTAGACCTGAAATGTGAAGAGAAGGGGTAGAGAGGGAGACAGAGAGCTCCACGGAGAAGGCACCTAATTGGAGATGTGACCTTAAGTCTAGAAACACTCCAGCCCACACAATCCTGCGGGAAGGAAATATATACGCCAATCTCATCCTTCTCCCTCACTCTCATCCCCTATCAATACTCCCCATGGCCAAATGCAAACAGAAGGCAGAAAGCAAGGTTGCCTGTCAGTGCAGGTCCACCTCCTGGGGCACATCTACAGAGCAGGGTAGAAAAGCGTAGGGTGAATCTGGGGAGGTAAATGGAAGCTATTCAGCCGAATGGCTTCCCATCTCAATCAGTGTATCTGAAAGTACGAGATCCAACCTTATCTCCTGTTCTGTTTGCTAACCTTTCTACTCAGTAGCTCTCCACTCACCAGGCACACCCCGCCTCAGGTCCTTTGTACTTGCTGCCTTCTCTGCCCAGAATGCTTTTCCCCCAGATACACACATGGCTTGTCCCCTCACCTACTTCAGCTCTCAGCTAAAACGTTACATCAGCAGAGGTTTCCTTTACCACCTTATATAAAAACCTCCCTTGCTCCTATCCCACCCATGCCTGGCACATCTATCTCCCTTATCTTGCTTTATTTTTCTCCACAGCACTTCTCTCTAACATTAGATAGATAGATGGATGGATAGATATATTTTCTCCTTTTTAATTGACTGCCTCTCTGGCCTAGAACAAAAGTTTCATAAAGGCGTCCACTTGGCCTCTTTTGTTCACTCCCTTATACCCAGTGTCTAGAACAGTGCCTGGCACAAAGAAGGCACTCACGTATTTGTTGCATGAATGAAAATGAATGAATGGAACAGAAGAACCCATAGCTAAGGACTCTTTCCACTCTTCAGAGGTTTCACTCCTACTATCAAATCATTGTTAAGCAAATAAATAGGCTCCTGATAATCAGACAGGAAGCAGGTGACAAGCATTTTTTATTGGCAATGGCACAAAATTGAGTGTTGTCAGTAAATCCCTAAGAATAAGTGGAATCTTCAGTCAGAACCAAAGGAATAACAGCAGTGTCTTCTGTAAACAACTCCTAGCAAGGTTGTTTCTTCTTATGACTATATCATCATTAACCTACCAACCTAGTGTTTCTATAAGACTCAGTCTTCTCATCTGTAAAATGTGTAAGGATTGAATGACACAATGTATGGAGAGCATTTATTGGGTATGGAACCCAATAAATGGACACTATAATGATTATTAAAACATTGAGGAAGCCATGAGAATGAGATACCATGTTATCTTCCTATGATCTGGAACAGTTTATCCTAGACTTTTAAAATGTGAGCTGGAATAATGACACGGAAAAGAAGTATAAGATGCTTTGCTATCCACCACACAGTTGGGCCTAGATCTGAAAGACATCCTATAGTACCAGTGCTCCATATCAGAACCTAGTTTCCATACCTGGCCCAGACCTTGGCCAACCCTTTTGCAGGCCAGTACCTTGTTGCATCCATTTCTGCATCGCTCATTATATCTAAGCACTTAGAACATAAGTGCTGCTTTTTCCCTCATAGGAACCAAGCAGGGCATGTGACTGCAAAAATAGTGTAAGCAAAAGAGAAAGAGCAGATCAGTACAGCTCCTGGCGATGCTCCTGTTTTTGACTTACCCCTCTAACCATGGAAGTCTCTGTTCTGGTCTGCAAATTAGACCAAATTCTGATTCCCTTTTCTCCACTAACATTTTATCTATCCATAGCCTCATCTGCTGGGTCAATTCAGTTAACTACGCAAAAGGTGACCCCATAGTCTTAGGTCAGATAAAAAGAAAAAGGCTTGACCTGAATCCACTCAACAATCCATCACTTAGGAATACTGCAAAGATCCTGTAGTAGCTTTTTCATTGATGGGAGATTTCTTTGCAATTTTTTGCAGATTTCTGTAGAAGGACACACTGGTGGGCTAACTAACCTGGGAAGCTAGATTCAAAAGGTAAGTTTCCTTTCTACCCTAAAACCCATGAAACTTAAATCTCCAGTTAAAATATTCCCTCTGCTACTATGTGTATACGTGTGTATTCAAGCCCTTGCTTTTGTTATTTTAGTCATAAATATACAATATAATAATTATCCTTACTAATTTTTGCCAAAACTGAGGCTTCCAAGCTCAGGCATGAAAATCAAAGCAGGTCCCTCCAAGATTAAGCCTAGGGATTGATCTTACTAAGAGATCTTATTTTAGTAAGCAGCCTGATGCTTACTTGTTAGTGCTAAAAAAAATCATTCTGATCACTTCTCCTAGTGACAGATGGGTAACCATTTCCACAGTAACTAACTTGGGACCAATTCCAATTGAGGAACGAGAAGAAAAACAAAACTATAATTCACTACTCATTCTGCAAACACGTTTCAAAGTGATAGGTCCCATCTACTTCGAGGCCTCAGTGAATGGCAAGTAGTACAAAATTCACACTCTTATTACAGCACTTCCCAAACTGTGCTGTTTTCCTCTCTGTCTTCCCCAACCACGCTCCTGATCAGGGGCTGTTTTATTTCTTTGCATTTCCATTGTTCGACATTGTGACCAACACACTGCTGGTGCTCAAATGATTGAATGGCTACTAAAATGTCCCCCCACGAGGCAGGCGTCAAACCTGGCACTGTGGGTCATAAATTAAACATCATGGAATGGCATGACCGCAGTCTGGCCACTTCTTTTCCCCTCTATGTCCCAAAACTATAAGCAGGGTGGGGAAAGTGCATTATCCATACGAGAACCCCCCGATGTCTGGCAAAACGGAGTGGGCTGTCCGACCCACCCGGGCTGCTTCAGTCCTCCAGGAACAGAACAAGAGTCTCTCCGCTCCCTAAGGCAGAGGGGGCCCAGGTACTGTCCTCTCCCTCCAACCTTGACAACGACCCCTCCCCAACCGGCCCCACAAGCATTCCACTCTCCAGCCCAAGCCTGGGCGCCGGGAGCGTCCCAGAGGTGGGGGGGGGGGGCGCCGCGGAGCACTGTGGGAGCTGTAGTTCCCGGGTGGGTTCCGCACCCCGGCGGCCCTGAGGACCAGACTCCCGCTCCCAGAAGCCCCCGCGCGGGCGCCTCGCCCAGTCAAGCCAGCTCACCTGTTCCGTGGACGTGACTGTTTCTACCGAGTCGTCCTGCAACCGCTCCCGCGCGTGCTCGGGCCTCAGACTGTACAGCGGCTCTGACCAGACAGGGGAGGAAGATGGAGGGCAACAGTAGGTGAAGGAACTCGGAGAAGCCATGCTCTGGAAAGCAGCAGGCGGTGTATAGGACTCAGCTTCGTCAAAGAACAACGCGCCTTGAAACTCTAGCGGGCTAAGGCGCTACGGAGAGCGGGTAGAGTCAAAAGATTTTGAACGCGAATCGCTCCTGTCGCCTACACAACCTCAGGGAGTGAGTTGCTGGAATGCTGCCGCCCCCCATTGGGCAGAGGAGCTGCTGCAAGAGGCTCAGTTTCCTGGCGCGCAAGGAAGCATGTGTACATCTGAATTTCATTTCCCACACACACACCTTTTCAACATTCTGCTCATTCTCACCTACTTATGTCAGTAGTTCACAGTTTCGGGTGCCCAAGAACCCAATGAGGGTAACTTTTTTTTTTTTTTTTTTTTTGCGGTACGCAGGCCTCTCACTGTTGTGGCCTCTCCCGTTGCGGAGCACAGGCTCCGGGCGCGCAGGCTTAGCGGCCATGGCTCACGGGCCTAGCCGCTCCGCGGCATGTGGAATCTTCCCGGACCGGGGCGCGAACCCATGTCCCCTGCATCGGCAGGCGGACTGTCAACCACTGCACCACCAGGGAAGCCCGTGGGTAACTTTTAAAAAGGCATTTCTGACAGCTCTCCTGATTGCCTCAGTCATACTATTATGAACAGAATTATTGCACACCTTTGGGTACATGACAACCGCCCAAGAGAAGCCAGCAGCTTCTCCACAAGGGAATTGCCACCTCAGTAGTCAGTGATGGAGGGAAGTGGCACTGCAATTCTCTCCTATCAATTTGGGGGTTACAGTGCAGTAGCAGGAACTAAAACTCAGTAGAAGGGATAAGTGTAAATGAAACAACCAAGAAAGTATTCACTCATTTATTCAGCAATTTTTTTTATAGAGCACCTACTACATGTCAGGCACCCGTGCTAGGCCTCAAGAATACAAAAGTGAACAAAACAAATAACGTCCCCCCCCCGCCCTTGAGAACCTTACAGCCTAATGGAATTGATAGAATTAAGTGAACGAACACTAAAAAATCTGTGAACACTAGTGATGAATTGTATGAAGAAAAATAACAGGGTCTATGAGAGAAAGTAAACGAGGAGGGGACTAATCAGACTGGGTGGTCTGGCCAAGCCTCTCTGAGTAAGTGACATGTAAGCCGAGACCTGAAGGATGACAAGGAGACATCCGTGTGAACAACATGGGGAAGCGCCTCATGAGGGAAGGGCCTGCAAGCTTGACAGAACACGCCATAAATACACTCATGTGTGTTTGTATTCATTCTGATGTTTAATCTGAAGGTGTTCTGAATAAAAGAAATTCCTATTGAGTGGGGTTAATCATCATATATGCGTCCATTAAATGTTCAAGTAGTGATTTTAGGAAAACCCTGCTACCTTTGGACAAGCAATAGAAGAGGACCTCTTTCAGGGCCCACAACAAAAAGACTGCACCAAAATTATAACACCAAGAGGTTAAACTATTTAGAGTGGGGGTGAGGTTTTGGGGGTGGGAGAAGATAGGATAATAACTGACTTTCCAGATAGACACAAACCCAACTTCCTGCTCGGAGCATTTTACTCTGTTCCCACTAAATTCCAAGCCACAAGTCCAGGACCCAGGGGACCGTGGTGCCATCCTTCACAACCAGCCATTCCCCTGTTCTCAGACTCCAGTGTCTAAGGATGAGGCTGGGATGGCCTACGGGCCTCAGGTAGGTAAACACTATCGCCCTGTCCATTTTAGAGTTGCGGTTGCTGAGTTAAGTCCTGGAGGTGCCGGAATATTTCTGAATCTGGGAATAAGTAGCTGTGTGGGTTAGGGTCACAGATATGGCTGTACAACGTGAAATAGTCTCATTATTATTTCCTCTGCATTGGCATCTTAATTGTCTTTCCCTTAGTTCTATTTTGGAAAAAATGATCTGTTAAGGTCTGGGTCATATCTAAGGATTCTGCCTTCTTTGTAAAGTGTTGCTTTGCCAGCTAGAAATTTAAATTGAACTACTGAAAGAGTAGCTGGAACAGTTTTGTAACAGATTATTACATCTGTTACTGGTGCACCTGAAGCAATTGCCAATTGTATTCAGGAAATAGAATTCTATTTCTGAAACGCAATCTCCTCCACGGTGGGATCTGAACCATGTTAATGGAACCGTGGCAAGAGTCTCCTGCAGGATAGTGTCTGTTCATGTGCTGGGCACTGAACTAAGTGCTGAGGAGAGAGTGGTGAACAAGCCACACACATTCTTAGCCCTTACGGGTCTCGTGATTTACCAGAAGAAACAGAGGTTAAACGATCATTACAGAATTGACTGTTTTATTGCAGTTGAGGGAAATGGCATGAGGGAGAAAGAAGCACAGCACACTGTGAGATTGCATAGCAGGGGAGACTGAAGGTAGTCTGGAAGATCATGAGGAAATGAGTTAACTCACCCAGGTTGAGAGAACATACCAGGCAGAGGAGACCCAATGACAACAAATTCAAGTGAAACAAGGAATGGAAAATATGAGGAATTTATACTCTTCGGAGCATCGAGAAGAATTTTCAGCCTTGGATCAGCGGCGGCCCACCAGTCGTCCTTCCTCTGAGTTTAATAAAATGACTCATTCAAGAAGCAGAATGTACATAAATACTGGCGGTATGGCAGAGAATGATGTATTTACAAGAGAAAGTCTTAGCAATGATAATTAATTAATAGTCACTCCAGCTTGGACCGCAGATGGTTTGGGTTTATTTTACCCAGTGTATGATATTTTTCTAAATTAAACTGTGAACTGTAATTGTTTTTTTAAAAAATAATATAAAATGTGGATAGTGTTATTTTGCACTTCTATCTAGGGCAAGAAAATAAGAAAAAAAAGTAAAGGTCTAAATGAACCACTAGAGGGCACTTCTGACCCTAGAGTAGCTTCTAGAGTAAGCTTTAGAACTGCTCTCACTGCATTACTCACACAAGTCCATATGTCAGCAAGGATTGTTTCCTTTAATATCTTGCAAATCTATGTAATAATACATAATTTGGAGAGTTTGGAAAATGGAAAGAACTCATCCATTATCCTGCTAGGTAATTAATTTTTCTCCCCCACAATTACTTCTCTCCCTGCATCTGTGGTCTCCTACTTTGCCTTCCCAGTCCCTCTCCCTCCTGTCTCCTGGATACAAGTGTTACCCAGCTCTTACCTAGGGCCAATCCCTCCCTCCCCCTCGTGCCCATTCTCCTTTGACTCTCTTAAGACATCAAGTTGTTCCTGTACTTGATCACACCGATCACCCACAAACAGGCTACTTCTCCACTCATGGGGAAAAAAAAGACATTTTTAACCCTCTTGATTCCACTCCTTCTTCGGCTACCTCCCCATTTCCCATTCCCTCTCTACCAGTCGCTCCAATTCCTCTCCTCCCACTCTCTTGAACCCATTCCAAACTGGTTTCCCCATTGGTTCATGTCAAGTCCCCGTTAAACTTCTAATTGCTAAATCCAAGGGCCAGTCTCAGCCTTTGTCTCATCTTCCTACCTGACCTCCTAGCAGCATGTGACGGGGTTGATCATTCCCTTCCCCTTGAAATACCTTCTTCTTGTAGTGTCTGGCACCGGCCTTTGCTATTTCCTCATCTCCCTCACGCTGTAGCTTTCGAGTCCCTCAGGGTTCTCTGTCTACAATCACTCACCTGTAGCTCAGGCAGTCTCAGTATTTCAAATACCACCAGTGGATTGAAAACCCCCTCATTTATATCTCCAAACTGGATCTCTCTTCTGAACTCGAGTTCATCTCTCATATCCTATTTGCATTTCCACTTAGATATCTAATACAATCAGTCCCCTACATACGAACGAGTTCCGTTCTGAGTGTGTGTTCGTTAAGTCCAACGAAGTTAGCCTAGGTACCCACCTAACACAATCGGCTATATAGTACTATACTGTAAAAGGTTTAAATACTTTTCACACAAATAATACATAAAAAACAAACAAACACAAAAAATAAAGAAAACACTTTTAATCTTACAGTACAGTACCTTGAAAAGTACACTAGTACAGTACAACAGCTGGCATGCAGGGGCTGGCATCGAGTGAACAGGCAAGAAGAGTTATTGACTGGAGGAGGGAGAGGAGGTGGGAGATGGTAGAGCTGAAGGATCGTCAGCAATAGGAGATGGAGGGCAAGCTGCACGTGGCAAGGTACACCAGACACGTGAACTAATACGTGATTGGACATGCGAATGCACGTTCGCGTCTGTGAAAGTTCACAACTTGAAGGTTCGTATGTAGGGGTCTTAGTGTGGTAAGTGTGTCCACAACAGAGCTGCTGGTATCTCTTCCAAACCCGTGCCCCCAGCCTTCCCCCCTCAGTTAACTGCATCCTCCCACTTTCCTCCAAATACCTTGGAGCCATCCTTGATGGCTCGCTTCCTCTCTCTCATAAATCTTGGTGAAAATACATCCAGAATTTAACCCCTGCTTACCAATTCCACTGCCGAGGTCCTGGTCCAAGCCACCACCATCTGTCACTTGGATTCTTACACTCATCTCTTAACTATGCTCCCTGTTTCCACTCTTGTCCTCCTATAGCCTAATACAAACTCAAAAGCCAGACTGAACTTCTTCAATGTAAGCAAATGAACCCCTCACTTGAAGCCCTCTTGTCATCTCAGAGTCAACCGCAAGGTCCTTACCCTGGCCTAGAAGCCCCCATGATCTGGTCTTTTCTCCTTGCACTTGCCAGCTTGTTCACTCTGTCCACCACACTGGCCTCCGGCTGTCCTGTGTCCACCCTAGGCATGTGACAGCCTCAGAGCAGCCATGCTTGCTGTCCCCTCCCCAGCAATGCTCTGCCCGCCCCCCATGTAGACAGGGCCTGCCCTCTCATTTCTTGAAGTCTTTACTCAGATTTTAATACTCTGTCCCACTCCCCTGCTTTCTTTTTCTCCACAGCACTTACCACCAGCTGACAGACTTTATACCTCATGTATTTATTTTGTTTACTGTCTGTCTTCCTCCCACTAGACTGTAAGCTCTCAGGGAAGGCTGTATTTTGTATTGTTCATCACTTATTCTCTGGCACATAATAGGCACTGAGGAAGTTAAATGACTCAAATGATTTCCAGTCACTGTAATAAACATTTGAGTGCTTGTTTGTGTAACATACTGTAGAAGATGATGACAATGAACATGATACTGGCCTTACCCTTCAGGAACTTACTAGCTAATAAATACAGAAACTGTATACATATAAATAAAGTAAACATACAAAATATAAATATAAAATAATAAATAGAGATAGACATAAAATAAGACATAATACACACACAAAATGTAGTGGGAGAAAATAGGAAAGGAATAATTCGATTTTAATTTATTAATGAAGATGGCTTTTTTTTTTTTTTTTTTGGCAGCACTGTGCGGCTTGTGGGATCTTACTTCCCTGACCAGGGATCGAACCCGGGCCCCCTGCAGTGGAAGCCCGGAGTCCTAACCACTGGACCGCCAGGGAATCCCCAAAGATGGTCTTTTAATATATAACACTCGTGTTTAGTAATAGTTTCAATAGAGTAAATATTCTCTGGTAAAGATTTTTAAATAATTACATTAGAATGTGGAAATTGTGAAATTCTATTTTCATTCTTATTTCCTGTAGCACACACAATGTATACAAATACTGAATCATTTTGTTGTGCACCTGAAGCCAATATAACGTTATATGTCAATTATACTTCAATAAAAAAAGGAAGGAAGGGAGGGAGGGCGGGAGGAGGGGCCCATCCTGTTCACAGCATCCTACCTCTTGCTTACTTCAATGAATGATTATTACAGTCACCATCCATGTCAACCCACCTCCCTCCTCCTTGTTCTCTCTAACCTGTGTCTGGTCTCTATTCCATCCTAGATTTTCCATCTGTATCAGCAACGTCACCCCCGCAGATGCCTGCACCTACTACTCTGTGAAATTTCGGAAGGGGAGCCCTGAGGGAAAAAAAAGTTTCAAATCACTCCAAAAAGAACAGCTTTCTGAACAATGATTTTATGGCACAGAGAACAACTATGAGCTTCTCAGAAAGCAATGTATCATCAATTACACATACCTGCATTATTTTACTGTGTCAAATATTGATATAAATTTAATCATTATATATTACTAATCATTACATAGACTCTACTACTGAAAACCTGTACAAAAGTATTGCCTTTAAATCCTGTTTGGGATTTACTGTGGTGAAAACTATTTTACCAGCACATACAAAATTGAAGCCAATTCAAAAGCATTGCTCACATTGAGAAATCAGAGAAATGATTTTTTAATTAATTTATTTGTTTTTACTTTTGGCTGTGTTGGGTCTTCATTGCTGTGCGCGGGCTTTCTCTAGTTGTGGCGAGCGGGGGCTACTCTTCGCTGCGATGCGCGGGCTTCCCATTGAGGTGGCTTCTCTTGCTGCGGAGCACGGGATCTAGGCACATGGCCTTCAGTAGTTGTGGCTCACGGGCTCTAGAGCGCAGGCTCTGTAGTTGTGGCACATGGGCTTAGTTGCTCCGCGGCACGTGGGATCTTCCCAGGCCGGGGATCAAACCCATGTCCCCTGCATTGGCAGGCGGGTTCTTAACCACTGCGCCACCAGGGAAGCTCAGGAGAAATGATTTTTAAAACTGTTGAGAGGCAATGCTAGACGTGTACACTCCAGAGCCAACCAGTGACCCTCAACCTAGTCTGTGCCTTTAAAAATACAGATTCTCCTGGGTGTCAGTGCAGGCCTACCCAATCAGAATCTCTGGGGCTGGGTCCCAGGCACGTGTATTTTTTAAAGCTATGATGCTGATACACAGTCAGGGTTGGAAGCCACCCCAGCCTTCTTTTTATGTGGCAGGAATGCTGGCTGTTCACTAGAGGTCTGATCCCTTTCCATAGGGGCCATTGCAGCTGGGAAGTGACAGCCCATCAGTCCCCCTTGCATGTAGGCAGGGCCTTCTGACTGAGTTCTGGCCAATGTAACATGAGCAAAAGTGATGTCCACCATATGCAGGCCTGGCCCTCTGCAGCCTCCTACTCACCCCCTATTTCCTCTCTTCCCCTCCCTGCCAGCAGGCGGTTGATGCCTAGGGCAGCCCTCCCTAGGCTGTTGAAATTGAGATTTTTAACTTTTCAGGCCCTCCCTAGAAAGTTAAAAGTTTCAATTAACCTAGAGATCTTCAGTGTTTTACTCCACTGGACAAGTGGTAAAATAGATTCAAAATGATTTTCTGGACAAATGTTTCAACATCTTCCAGATGTGTATTATTACCACTCCTTCCAAACAGTATTTTTGAAGTTTGCTAACTTATCACTACAGGGTCAACTCTCCCCAGCCCTGCTGAGTGTCCCAAAGTTTCATCTTCCCTACCCCAGTGTCACAGAGCCCCTCCTTCCCTGCTGTCTACAAGGCAACCTCAGAGCGGGTATAGGTGTATATGCACTTGGCTCAAAAGCTTGCCCTCTCCCCTCTTTCCTCGTCATTTCAGAGTCTCTTCCTTTATTTATCAGAGATAGAAAAGAAAAAGGATGTGAATGGAAGACAATACTGTATTGAGATAATCAGGGTGTGCGGGGTTCCATCTGTTTCTTCCAATCCTGAGATAAGGAAGAAATCCTTCTGCTAGGTGAGCACAGTACTTACAGTCACCCAGAGTTGGAAACCCGAGTGTGAGTCTGGAAGAAGCATAGCGTTTTGCTAATGAGGAGTCCCACGGTCCAACTGTGTTCAGTCTTGGCAGTGGGCTGCCTGTTGGAGCATTTCTCCAGTTAATTTAGCTGTTATTACAGCAGATCCCACAGTGGTGCCCTTGCTGGCTGTTTAAACAGGGAGCATGCTCAGTGTGCCTAGGCTGTGGGTGGCAGGAAGCAGGGCAGGCACTTGTCTCCCTGGTAAAAGAATCAGTATAACATACTTGAGAGACTGATTCTTGGAGCCTTCTTGTGGGAGAGACATCCAGCAACCATTCCTCGGATGGCTCCCAGCTCTACTAAAGATTGCCCCAGTCCAAGCTGACCTCCACTGGGGAGGACGCCAAAAGGTCCCACTGAGTGAGTAAGGTAAGAGGGCGAAATTAAGTATTTCCTTTACAAAGACGCTGGTTAAAGCAAACTTTGTTGTCTCCACTAGTTTATGTGGTTCTTTTGCTAACATTGTCCCCAAATCTCAGCTTCTCCAGGGGCACGTGCGCGCGCGCACACACACACACACGCGCACATACACACACACACAGAGAAAAGGAAAGAGAGAATATCTCTCTATGATGGCTTTGAAAGTAGCCAAGCCAGGATGAAAAAACTAGAAGCTTGGGTTTCTAGACTATCCGTTTTTGCTTTTGTTTTGGTTTTTTAAGCAATGTAAGCTACTGGATTTGAAGTCTAGTATGATGAAGTCTCTTCCATTTTTTATAAGTCTGAGCACTCATTTCCCCGGATTTGTTCAGGAAACCGCACTCCCTTTCCTGTCTTACCTAGGGAAAGCCATTTCCTTTAAAGTGAAGTTCCTTCTTGGACTAGGAACTTACCTCAGGTTGCATCTGCTTTCCTGTTCCCCTGACAGAAGCAAGCAGAGAGCCACTAATGGTCCCAGTAAGGAGGCCTGTGGAGAGTATTGACCATCACAGTGCGGATCGATGGTAAAGCAGCTGCAGCGCCCAAAGGGGGGCAGGCTGAGCTGAACCTGCACCCTGGCCAGCCGTGTACGGTGCTGTGGATGAAAATCACAGCAGGATGGCGGGAGTCCCTTGAAAACACCCCTGACCATCTGTGGGAAATACTTACCACCCACATATGCATGGGGAAATCACTGTGGGGTGATTTCCGTCCCTCAGCACTTAATGAGTACTGGGGTTCAGTAACATGCTCAAGACTGCACAGCTGGTGAGTGGAGGAGCTGGGACTGGAACCCAAGTGGGCCCAACTCCAGAGCCTGCGGCATGCACCTGAATCCCAGTGTAAAGCCGTGAAGAGAAACACACCTGGAAATCTTAGTGGAATCCACAGGATTGGTTTCCTTGGCTTTTAATGCCATCAAAGTAACTATCAGGTTCAGGATTTTTCCCTCTTTATTATAAATTTATACACTTTGCCTGAAATATAGCTCTTCAAGCAAAGTAAATGGACTTACTGCTTTCCTTGACCTACTACTGAAAAATGCATTCTCCATCCAATACTCAGCCTGAAAACAAACACACACACTTTTTCATCACTTTTTAAAGATTTAATGGGCTAGACTTGTTCTCCCTTAAAACTTATTCTCAGGAATAGGCAATTTTCTAGACTCCGGAGAGCATTTATTTGCCTCTCTCTTGTGCTAACGCATTCAGTGATAGTAAATTAGGTCTTGAAAGAGGCCCGTTCATTGTTTGGTGCCATTGGTGTGCACCAGCAGAAATACTCAGTGGGCTGAAATAATGTATTGGCATCCTGAGCACCGACCCTAAGCAGCTTAGATCCAAAACAGAGACTTGCTTGCACAACACTTCCAAAGGATTGTGCATCTGGAAATGTTTTTAGGATCAGCTATATTTTCAGCCTGGTGAAGGAGGTCAGCAGACATTTTCCCTGTTTAAATGGGATGGGGGGGGAGCGCGGTTGGAGGGAGGTCACAGTCACACAAGGTTATGGAGAAGCCAGATGGCAGACAGGGAGAATTCTAGCAATAACTCCCCAGGGTTCCTGGAGACCGCGACTTCCAGAGTAGACCGGTGCTTGAATCGCGATCCAGATCAAGGCCTTCCGACCCAAGGGTGAGCCTAGGTGAGGACCAACCACTGCCCCCTCCCCCCGCCCAGTAGGCTTCCGCAGAGGCGGGGCGCTCCGCTGGGTTGGAGCTGGCAGGGCCAGGTTCGGCATGCTATTTGGAGAGAAGGGACGAGACCCGAAAGCCGAGTTTGGTAGAGGTGAGCTGGGTGGGAGCTCATTCCAACTCCCCCATGCAGAAGGTCTGCAGGTAAACAAAAACGTTCCCCACCCCGCCACCGATCTGTCCCGGGTCCCGGCGTAAAGAGGGCGGGAGGGGGGCGGGTCCCGGGGCGGGTCCCTCCCCGGGCTGCGCACCCTCTGGGCGGGGAGCGCGCACCGCCCTCGCCCCCCCCCGCCTAGGGGTCTCCTCCCCAGCGCGCGTTCCCCGCCCCCTCTCCGGGCGGCGGCGGCGGCGCAGGGGAAGGGGCGGGCGGGGGCCGGCTCTCTCCTCCCACCGCGCTCCCGCCGCACACGCTTCCCGGCACCGAGCGAGCGAACGGCGGCGAGGCGGCGCGGGCCGGCCCCGCTTCCTTCTCGCCGCCGGCGCAGTTCTCGGGCGGGCGCGCGCCGCGATGGCCCGGGGCGAGCGGGGCTGAGCCCGCCGCCCGCCCGCCCGCTCGCCCGCCGGCCCGCCGGCCCGCCGGCCCAGCCATGGCGAAGCAGTACGATGTGCTGTTCCGGTTGCTGCTGATCGGGGACTCCGGGGTAGGCAAGACCTGCCTGCTGTGTCGCTTCACCGACAACGAGTTCCACTCCTCGCACATCTCCACCATCGGTAAGGGGCGGTGGCCGGGGGCGCCCCACCCTCCCCGCCGCCGCCCCTTGTCGGGGCGGCCCCTGCCCCTTCCCCAGCCCGGGAACAAGGGTCCGCCCCTCCGGCTAGCGGCGGTGTCGTGGGAGGCGAGAACGAGGGGATGAGTCCCGGGGTGAGGGGCCACCGTCTGGGGATTTAAGCCTGGGCTCCTGGAGGTGACAGGCTCCCTGCTGCTGTCCGTGACTATGGAAGGCGCTCGGGCCTCACGCTGGGGAGCCTCCCTGTAGAAGCCGAGATAACAGGGTGGTGTAGGCCTGGGTACCCCAAGCTGGGGCAGTGAGAATCAAAGCCACCGATATGACATCCCCCCACCCTCAGGTGCAGAGGGGGAGGGGGAAAAAAAGCTTGTGCTCGGGGACAGGGGTTCACTGTGGGGGGAGCCGAGTTCTGAGTCACTGGGTACCCTCAGTCCAGGAGCGACCCAGTGTGGAGCCAGGAGGGGGAGGAGAGGAGGAAGGGATTGACTTGACAGGGCACAGTTGTGGAGGGAAGCCACAAGGTGGGACACCTGCGAGGAGGGCATGGCCAAGGTGAGAGCCCACGTGCCGGTGAAGGGGGCATTTACTAGCCAGCTTCCGAAAAGCAGCCAGCTGAAGCATTTGTCTTGAAGGCGGCTAAGGACCAGGAGGATTACTTGCCAGGCAAGGGGGTCAGAAAGCAGGCAGGACTCACCTTAGAGGAGATCTCTTTGCTCTGGCAACGCTGGAGCCTGTGCTTAGAGGGACGAGGCCTTGTGGCATCCCGGACAGGACGGTTATGGGCTCACTGGTCCATAGGAGTGGGTGGCCTCCCCTCTGAGAGTCCCCTCTTGAACCCTGAGTGGCCTCCTCCTCTGAGAGGTCTGAGTGGAGGGCATTCCACTCACATCTAACAGGTTCCCTGAGTGATGCCCTGGAGTGGCTTCAGCACTGCCCAGGTCCCCTCTCCCGTCAGGAAGGGCCCCAGACTAGGCTTCCACTTGAGACTTCCGCCCTCCCTCCCCACACAGACTCCTTGCCAAGAGAAAAGAGGGAGCAGGTAGAGCCAGGAGGATGAGAGCCTCGTGGTTCAGAGGCAGGCTTTGTTGTCAGACAGACCTGGAAACCTCACTTTGGGGCAGCGTGACCTTGAATATCACTTCAGCTTCTGAGCTTTAGTTTCTCATCTGTAGAATGGGAATGATAACAGTTCCTACCTGCCCAGCTGTTGGAAGGATTAAATGAGATAATGTTTGTAAAAGACTGCTGCTATTACCGTTGTCATCATCACTGAGCTCCTGGGGTCTCATTCTCTCTTTGCTTCACTGTCTTCAAGGGGCTCAGGGTCAGGGGACAGATAGATGCATTCATCTTCCTCGGGGGAGCTGTAAACTAGCTCCTAGGAGGCCCTGGAGCTTGGACTGGGCCGCTGTTTGAATGAGACACATCTCAGGGATGGGACAGGTCTGGAGACCAAGGGAGGGCTGCGGGCCTCTGGGGAAGGCTCAGGGAAGAGGAGATGTTGGGGGAGTGCCTGGGAATGGCTGAGGAACCAGATGGGATATGAGGACAGGTTGCAGGCTTGAGGACAAAGGGCGGCAGGTTAGCACTTTCTCTGCACTGATGGCTGGGTCCACCTTTACCCAGGATAGAGAGGACTTTTTAGGAGTTTAGATTCCATGGAAGAGAAGGAAACCTGCCTTTCTTCACAACAGCCTTTTAAAATCTGCCCCACTGGGTTTCTTAAATGCTTTCCGGTTTAAAGCTTTCCACAGCACTTGTGACTCTGCCTTGTCTTAGGCGTGTTTTTTGGCTGTAACTAAGACTTAGGAGAAGAGTTGGATGGTCAAGAAAAGCTTTCCCTTCAGGGATACAAAAAGTTCCCCAGGGAGATGGAAGGGGCAGCCAGGAGACAAATCAAGGAGCCAAGAAAATGGGTACTACCAAGTCCTATTCATTAATTTATCCATTCCAAAACAAAAACAAAAACAAAAAACGTGTGTCCTGTATCTGGGCTTGGTGCTGCGACCTGACCATGGACGTTGATCTCTGCACGTTTCCCAGAGCTGCTTCTGTGGAATAGGGAAAACGGGGCAATTCACCAATGACTACCAAGACAGAGTTCAGATTCTTGGATCATGTCAATTTGTGATTCACTGTTTAGGCCACTTACTGTAAGAGCATGTGACATTCCAGAAATGGGCCTGCAGGGGGCAGTGAGGAGACCTCCCAGGTGGGTGGAGGCACTGACCGCCCCTCTTCTTTCTGGTCAGCAGGTGGGCAGGTGGCCCTGAGCTGGGTCCGTGCCACCGGCATTTATTTCCCACGCAGCTGTGCTGACCCTGAAGGGGCCCGTGCAGAGGCGGGCAGTCAGCACTGTGATGTTTTCTGCTGTTTCTTCACCTGTTAAGCCGATTAATTAAACATTCACTACAGAGTACCGCGCCAGGCATGTTAGAGGCAGATTGCAGTCCACCTTTTCCTGCCCACAGAAGCCTGTGATCTAGCTGGGGAAGCAACACAGGCGAAAAAGAGCCTTGGCCACAATTAGAGAATCTCTTTGCAAGCACTTTGTGAAGTGCGCTTCAGATGTAGGGGATGGATGATATCCTCATTGTTCCTAGCAATGAAGGCATCACATTCGGTATCAGCAGCTAAGTAACCACGCGAGACTTGTCTTAGGCAGCCCGTGCATGGTGAGGGGCCCGTGCATGAGTGCTAATGCTACACAAAGCACTAGATGGAGGAGGTCACAGAAGGAGAGGGGCCGTGTGGACGGAAGCGGCAGGGAGGCTCAGGGAGGAGGGAAGGCTGGAGAGAGGGCTTACAGTGTGGGCTGCATCTCAGTTCCTGTAGGGGAAGGAGCAGATGGAGTGATGGGAGCAGAGACGACAGGGGTGGGAATTCAGTGGGTGTTCATGGAACTCTGGGCAGTCTGGCTGGAACAGAAGGGAGTTTTAGGGGAGGAGAACATTCCTCTGTTTATCTCTCTGTCTCCCAAACTATACTTCACGTGCCTTGAGGGTCAGACCAAACCTCATTCCTCTTTGTTTTCGTAGTCCCTGAACAGGGCCAGGCACGCTCTCCATAAATGTTAAACTAATGAACAAACGAGGGCAGAGGGCATTGAGGGCCTGGCTGAGGAGCCGGAACTCCAGCCTTCGCAATGCCGTCAAGGGTTTCTCGAGCAGGGGGACGACAGGATGAAGGTGGCACTTAGGATGTCGGCTGGGAGAGGGGCTTAGGCCTTGGGGCAGGGAGACCAGTCAGGGGAGACCAGTGGTAGTATGTGGGCATGTAGGACCCTCTCAGCTCGTCCCTTCTCTCTCTTCCACCCCTCCCCCTCCTGGGGCACCAACACCAAACTCCACGCAATCCCCTGTTCCTGTTTCCCTCTGGAAGCAGCGAGTAGTTCAAACCTGAGAGGGCCTCGTGTGGCTGGCGCTGCCTGCCCAGCGGGGAGATGATGTCCCATCCTAGTGGACATCGACATGCAGGGGACCTTTGATTTCCTTTCTGTGTGGCGGCCACGTGTCAGCCACTCATGCAAGCTGTAGGGACTGCCCGTGAGTTGGTTTTCTCCCCCCAATCCTTGGTCTTCCCTGAGACCCTGTCATCTCTGTCCCTGTCCTGGGGACCTTTTTGTCTTAAAGGCCACCTTTGGGCTTCTAGGAGGCTTCGGCCTATAATTTTCCGGCTTCACTGTTGGAACGGCTGTGGCTTCAGGCTTGGCTCCTCAGGCTGGGTTTGCTGCTGCAGTAGCATCTTTCTCAGGAAGTTCTCTTTGAACTGGCTCTCCTTGCCTGGGGAAAGGGCTTGTGAGTAACTGAAGATGGGGGAGTGGGCTGGGGAAGGACCAGGGGGGGAGAGGTCAATAGCCTGCAATCCAGTGGCCTAACAAACATGGGGGCCAATGCTTGGGCACCGTGGTCCTGAGGTGTGCGGGCCCGCAGACCGCAAGGCACTGTGTATACATGCCGTGTACACCGCGGGAGGGTCAGGTGGGTCTGTGTTCCCCACCGTGTTGGGAGGCCTGCAGAAAGGAAGGGGAGGTGAGAAGCTGAGCAGAATAGAAGGAGCGCAGACCACATGCCTAAGACTTGCCGTGGCCTTACAGACACTTAACGTCTCTGCCCTTAATTTCCACATCTGTAAATGGAAGATAGTAACAGAACCTTCCTTAATGGTCTTTGTGAAGATTACAGAGGCTAATAGATACAAAGCACTTGGCAGAGCTCTCAAAAAAAAAAAAAAAAAAAAGGCAGCTGCTCTCATTGTATTATGATTATCCCTAGCTCATAAGAAAGTTGGAGATGAACAAACTGTCGTTATGTGCTTTGAGGTCATCCTGTCCATCAGTCGTGCATTTGGTCATTCGGGCACTCTCTGCAGAGCACCCGCCGTTCTGAGCCAGGCAAGGAGCTGCGGGGACAGCAGTGAACAACACGGGAACCAGGGTGCCAGCTGCCCTTCCTGGGGAGCACATGAGTAGACTCTGGGTTTCATTTCCGCTTTGGTGCTATTTCCCCCCTTGCCCTGACCGTGCCGGGGCTGAGAAGGAAGAGTGGGTTGGCGAGGATGTGCAGAGGCGGAGGAGTGGGGAGAGCCGTGACCCGAGAGGACAGCTCTGCCTCGAGGCTCCGACCTCAGCCAGGTGTCACCCTGCCTCCGGCCCTGCTGCGCACACCCCCGCCCCAAGGACGTGATCCCCGAGAATGGCTCAGAAGCCCTCATTTCAGCTGCTCTGTGCACCTGTGCCACCTGCACAACTCTGCAGATTCACCCACAGCTTCGAGCACCCTGGTTCCTGCTTCTCCCTCCTCTTCTCCTCCTCCCTGCTTCCCAGACAGCTTGGTGATGAGCTTTATAACATGAAAGTCGATATTCGGCTATTACTCTTCCACCCTGATTGCCCCCTCTTCTCAGAGTGCCTTTTTCTGTAATCTAATATTTGCGCCTGTTTCCCTGTAAAAGTGCCAATTTTCTGCACCGGCCTCTGACCTC